TCAAGCTTGTATTTGTGGAAAAGCGTCTTTAGTTTTCAGGTTGACAGTATTCTGAAATGATGCCGGAGAGTTTATATCAAACTGAAAGTTTCCCGACTGCGTTCATTTCTTTGGTACATGAGCCAGACAAGCCGTAATCGAGTCGATAGCCGTCGTGTACGAATTCACGAAAAGAACTCAGGAGATGCTGTTCGCCGATTGCGCACAATAATACAAAGCATTTTTTGTGCCCAATCAGGAGCCAGCATTCGCTTCACCGTTTGGAAATGGCCCTGTGAGAGTCGGTACCCAGGGGCTCTTCCGCCTGTGCTTGAAAACTTTCGTCGCGCCTTTTCTCCCGGCCCGACTGACTGCCCCTGGGTCTCCGAGGATGAAAGAGTCCAAAACTAAGACTCCAAAGCAGCTGACGTACGTAGAGGCCATTCTTATTTAATTTCAAAACTCCAGTGATAATCAAAGGAAATACTTGCTTATAGACTCAGGGACTGTTAACATGGAGGGAGGAAGATCCTAAAGGGCGGAAAAACTTCTCATTGGGTTTACATGCAGCAATTTTGATCCCTGTGGTGCTAAGTCTTCTCTCTTTACTGGGCGTTTTACAATTACGAATTATCACCTGATTACAGAATTATCAGCTCTTAGTAAATGTAACGAAGCCAAACGAAATGGTTGGCCCTTATCGCCGTGATTACCCACTGAACGACGACCCCCCGCCATTTCTCTCTGGTCTGTCCCTAAGGATCTTCCCTGCGAAAGCAGTGTACATGGTGCTAGCAATTTCCTAGAACTAGGATCTTCCTGCCTTTTAGCTACGAAGACCCTAGTACTAGGAAGTCCCTAATACTATAGCTAGGAACAAGTACAACCCGTTACTAACACTACTGAATACAGCGTGAAACATAATGTCGCTAGCAGGATGATCCGCCTTCTAGGATCTTCCTGGATAACATTCAAAGTTCAGGAAAAGGAAAAGAAAGTTGTTGTCTTGTTTTTCCATCTTTGACAAAACGTGAAATTAGGCAGTCTCACGTTGTATAGTCATGTAACGACGGCAGAGAAATGTACAAAAAAGCGTGTGATGCATGTGCAAAGTTGATTGCTTTTAATTTCTTGCCGTTCTCGTTATGTTCGCCGTCGTCCATAAAACGCGGCGAAATTAGGCATGTTCACGTCGTAGTCGTGCAAAAACGGGCAGAGAGAAATGTACAAAAGTGGCGTGGTGCACGTGCAAAGTTCTTGTTTTGCTGATAAAACCTATTATTTTTTTGGCGTTCTCTCTACCGTCCGCGTTGTTGGATTTGTATCCGTTTTACTCCTAATAGTGGGATACAATAAAGATAGTGGCAAGGTCGCCATGAATTGAGTTACCTACGTTATAAAGGGCAATTGAGAACGTACAGCTGAACGTATTGCCATGTCTTCCCGGCCCCAGCCATAATGTTCAAAATTTTTGCATAGTTATGTATTTAAGGTGATTCCCTAGTAAAAGAACCTAAAATAGATTGTAGATGAAACTTAGTACACTGGTGTAACAAGTCAAGAAGATGATAAAAAGGTAATAAAAAGTGGGGGTCACCGTGCTCGTTTTGACGTCACAATGCTGACAAATACGGCCATTTTGGACCCTTTGACAAAAAACCGCACGCAGCCCAACACTAGACAAAAAGGAAAGATTTTTTCAATGATGTATGTGGTATCGCACAGAATTTAACTTTAACGTATTGTTTATCCACTTACGTACCAGAAAAATGCCTTTTAATGCCCTTGTTTTTACTTTACGCTGCAAAGTAGAATTAAATTGGACACGCGCTATTCGACACGTGATAGCTCAATCACTACAATTTAGTAAAATTGCCAAAAAACTGAACATAGATTTGTGCCAATTTCTTTCTCACCGAAAGGAAGCACTGTCCTTATTAAAATCATGAAATAAAAAATGGGAGTCACCGTACTCGTTTTTGCTGTAGAGCTGTAGAAAGTGCGCACCAAATGCATTTTCCTTGATTTTTGAGAGAGGACTGGGGCGAGTTTCAAAATAGAATGTATGCGAAAGGGGGAAGAAAGTATTAAAAAATCCGTTTTTACAGAATTTACATCGAGATATTACATTTAGGACACAATGTGATAAAGAAAGCGTTTAAATGAAAATTAAAGTGAATAAGCACAAATTAAACATCCACTATCGAGGTTCTCCGTGAGGAAATCGAACTCAGCAACACACGTACTGCTTACGTTACGTACATTTCCACCACATGGAGTCTCAACTCGGCAAGAAACACCCGCAAGCAAAAATTGCAATAGCGTTTCTCTTCGGTCAACTTCATTTTAATAATGTTACTTCACATGCTCTTTTTTACGGAGGCCATCTTGTTATGCGCAGTAAGAGATGCGCAGAGCAAAACCAGGGAATCACCTTAAGCCTACCAGAACCTACCAGAAACTCGGTACATTACCATTAACGGCCCGTTTTCAAGTTAAAAAACAGTCCGCATTTCTTA